TATAATCGCATGATTTTACTGTTTCTGTTATTAAAATTATACCGGCTATTACAAGTATAATTTTCGCGACACGTACCGTTGGGTTGAGCAAAATTTTTAATTTCTAATCGTTGGCAAATTTCTATTTATTTGGAATTGAAATATTTCACGCGCAAAACTGTACATTTCGAGAATTGCGTAATTTAAGATTTTAACGGCACTTCACATCCGTCTGTTACGCGAGCTCGAGCTCATAATGCCCGTACATTAGAATCGCAGATTAAGCTCGAGTGAATGCTACGAGTCGCAATTTGGCCAAATGGCTTTTTAAATCGTTTTTAATAAATAAGATCGAAGGCCATTGTCGTTTGTATAATTGGAAAATTCATACGCACGCTCTTGCGAGCGATTAAAAAGTTTTGCGCTCGCGAGAGCAAAATAATAGAATTTAACGCCAGCGCATAATAATGATTAAAACGCGCTCTATTAGATTACTTCTCGGGCTAAGAATTCAAATTAGTTTGAATGCGAGCTCTTACATTCTTCCTGGGTGAGCCCGTACACACACACACACACACACACACACACACACACACACACACACACACGAGCGTAGCCACGTCGTTACGATAATACAGCTTTCGGGCGAAAACGAACAATTGTAAAAGCTTTTGCAAATTTACAGATTCTGATGGAATTTTTAGCGACAGTTGCAAAATTCACTTTATACATTGACATAAATTGCTCGCACGTCACCTCTCGCGCGCTGCATTTAATATTTCCGCATGCATTCTTTTTGATGTAAATCGAGTTTACTTTGAATACATCACGTGGGATTTTTCGTGATGTGTTCTTAATTTCAATTAAAAATTAAGGATTTCAGTTTTAACTAGCTGTAGAACATCTCAGGTGTTCAATTCTTTTTTACTTGTTTTATTAAAAGTCAAGTTTAATACAGTCTTGCTAGTTTATTTATAATTAATTGTTTATCACACTAGTATTCAATATTAAATATGATGTATTTGAGAAGCAGTGGTCATATGAAATGTAAATTACAACTAAAGCCGAGAAAAGAATGGCTTTTTCTGCTTCACATGTTTATGCCCTTTAAGTCTCTACGATGCCGAGTGCACACTCACGTATTGTAGGCAAGAGTGGCTCGTAACGGTTATTGCTCTATGTCACGCTTTAATCCGGAAACTTCGAGACGATGACGGCCACGCGAGATACGCACACTCTAATAAATGTATACACTATCTGACTTATATATTCGCGTATACAATCAGCTGAAAGTCATCTCACGTCTATACGTGACATGTTTTTCTCTCGCGTTTAATTTCGCTTGGACCGCGTCGCGCGTCTTGCACACGGAAGTTTACGTTGCGACCGATAAATTTGTCTAGCTCGATACGCGCCAAATTCGATAACCAAATTTATATTTAGTGTGCAGTCAATTATCTATAAATAATATGCTTGTGAGTAATATTTTTTCCTCTACTTAGGTAACCAACATCTGATCAATTCATTTTTCGCCAGCAATAAACAAGGAACTGCCGCGATTTCCTTAATTCAAGTGGAAAATTACCATATTTACATGCACGTAAGACACTACTTTATGATTCGAACGGAAAATTAGCGTTTATTAGAGCATTTTTCAACTAACTGTGTATAAAACACAGCTGCTGCAGAGTCACGTTAAGTAAAAATTTGAGCAGCAACAGCGACAATGTAGCCAACGGGGTTTTTATTCAAAAATTGTTGCAGTATTATACTCAGCATGGTTTTTCAATTCGAACCAACACGAATAAATTTCGCAATTGTCCGCATGAGACCATTGAATAAGGAAAAAAGAGAGTACATGGCGAGGGCATTAACATATACTCAAAAAACGTTTTAGCCTTTAAGCTAAGAGTCCATTGAACTTCCGATCGTTTCCTCCGATGTGAATGTACATATTTTATGTCACGTGTAAGGAAGCATGGAAAAAAATAAACATGATCATGGGTGTAAAAAAGCCTCATGAAGACATGAGTATGATGTTTTCTGTCTAAAAAATTACAATCATTTGATTTGGCAAATGCAAAATTGCTTTGTATAGCGTGGGGATACCATTTATTTTAGCTTTGTTCTTTGAGGTAATATTAATAATTTTTTTCATTTCTAGTCAGAGTCTCTATTTTATTCGAGAATGAGAACGGTACAAGTGATTTTTTCAGTTACTTTGGAATCAACATTTCCAGTATTCACAAAATAAACGTGCAAAACTTTTATCATTCAACGTGAAGTATTTCATCGCGTAATCAACACACATTTTATTTTTCTTCAGGTAAAAAAAAAATATTTTTAGAAATGCACCTGCGAGTTAAGGCAATATTTAACCGGAATTATTCCATGCAGATTGTTTCAATAAACTGCTACACTTACCTGCTAAAAAATAAGCAAATGAATGGAACAAGAGATAATTTTTGCAATGATAATAATAATTGGTAATAATAACGATCTTTATTCACTTTGAACTCTGACCAGAGTTAATAAATAGAGATTAAAAAACTCTAATTAATTTGTGATGTTAAGTATGAGTGAATAAATATTTTTATCCAATTTATAATGACAATAAATTCTTCGTTCTTCATCAATTCTTTTTTCAAAAGGATATTTTTATTTATGTCACTTCAATTGATAGTTGTTAATTGACAGTCACAAGATTTTCTAGCACGAATCATATTATCGAGTTAAGAAGTTAGTACGGCAAACAATTTCGGAGTTCACACTAAATTAATTCGTGAACTGTTTACTGCACAGATATTTGAGGTAGACATCGTGCAATTTCGTCTTTGCTACCTGCTAACAGACACCAGTACACTATATCGCAAAATAATGTTTGAAAACTAACGTGCTAACGATATTTGCTCACACAAAAAAGTACGAGGTATCTTTTATTTGACCATTATTCACTTGGAGCAGCAGCAATTGCAGACCGGATAGTTTAAAAGTTCAAAAAATCCATACAGATCCGTACTTATACATTATTTCGGCAGAGTTTCTAAATGTATGAGCAAACTTAGAACTGTTCTCAGAAGGCGCGAGTTTCAAAAATTGATAACCACGCAATACTCGTACATTGAAAAGTAAAAAATTATCGTCTTCTTAGGCAACAAGATGGAGAAAAACCACGAAATGCATTATTAATTATATATTTTATCTAGAAAGTTTAGACTATGTGTATGTTGGAAGCAATGAAAAAAGATAGAAAGAAAAAAGACTTTGGTAGTCTGAGCCTTGCAGAGATTTGTAAGGCTAAAATGTTCCTCTTAAATTCGAGTGCATTGCTGCCACTGTACATACACACTAACTAGCCGCATTGGAGACTTTGGGTTCGCGCTAGCTCTGCACCACTGCTACTCGGCTATTTCTAAAACTAGGCCAAGCCAAGAGGGAGAGAGAAAGAGCAGCAGCAAGCGAGAAAAATAGCGACAGAGAGAATACGTGCATGTACATGTTTGTCTGTATACGTGTGAGATCAATATGAACGACACCGGTATAATGTACAGAAAAAGCGAGAGCGATATAGACAGAGAAAAAGAAATTTTTATAGATATATTTAACCGATAACACCAACAACAGACACCAAGGGATTTACAATAGCGGCTTATTTACCTTTATATAAGGTTGATGCTTGCTTCACATACTTGACTACCACCTTTTTTCTCTTATTCCACCAAAAATCTGGGTGAATGTGTCATATGTATTTTGTGCAACTCTTTAGTTAACAAATGAAGCTGACGCTATCGTTTCAAATATACATATATAACTTACTAGAAATAAACGAATTCGTTGGAACTAACCATTTGGTGCTATCGTTACATGAAATAACATAAAAAACAAAATATTGCATCATTTTAAACACCTCGATTTAAATGCACTGTGTGTGCAGTTTATAGGTCAATCTTACTATATACATTAATATTGCAATTAACTTGAAAAATTAAAATGTAAGCATAGTAATTGAATGAGCTTTTTATCAAGTTAAGGTAGATTAAATTAAGAAAGTTATGTCGCACTCTATAATTAAAATATTCGTTCACAAACGACGTATAAAGGTAGACAACTTATTTTATCCGAGTTTGTAAAATTAAGCTCTAATTATAATTCTTGAAAGCTCGTCTACTATTTATTTTCATTTCTTAATTGAAAAAAAATGTCAAGTTATTGAATAGGACACAATGCAAAGTTTTAATAACTCACTCAACGATTTGAGGAAATTTTACATGACTTTGTGCTTAAATTTTTACCAAATAAGTTCTATTTATTGTAGAGTGTGAGTCTGAATAAGAGTCATAAATTATTTAATGATTTAGTAATTATGTAAAAATAATAATAATAATAATAATAATAATAAATTATTAAGTATTTTTAAAGTTGGGGAAATATTATCTGCACCAATTGACAATACAATTTTTTCCTACTCAAGCCTAAAACACTCGCCTTTGGCTCGTGCTACAATCCCTCCTTTTGCTAAAAAACCATAACTGCACCCGTTGAGAATATACTATTTGTCCCAGATGTTTGCGCTTCATTTCGCCTTGATCTTCTTGACAACTAAAATTGTCTGCATATGAATAAATAAGTTATCTTTAGACGTTTAAAAAGATAAGCGCAAACCTATATACGAGTATAACGTCAAAAACTATTATTCTTTCACATGCAACTTTGCGAGTTTGTCCACGCAGTGGTAAAGTACAACGATGTATAACGTAGCTACGAAAGACAACATCAAGGACGTGTGACACGTGCAAAATGTTGTATGTGGATATATGCATATGTTTTATGCGCTCATGAGATCTCTTACTTGTATATATTTTATTATGTAGCAGGTGCAGGTAACCAACATTAAATTATTTTACTTCAATTATTTTTTTTCGTTCGTATGAATCGTAGAGAGCGTTAAATTCTTATACTTATTAGCACTTACGAGTGATGTAAAGTTTTTATTTTTGCTGTAGACAGATGAAAAAACCTACCAGCTGTAACAAAAATGAAAAACAAATTATAAGTTTATTTTCATGAGAACATTTTTTTAAGAGGGGGTTCTGATCTAGCGACCCAAAAAGTTACGTAATTTTCGCAATTTTTTTCACATAGAAGGAAGTTGATGAAGTAATCGAATATGTTAGTACTCATTAAATATATTGTGAATTATTTTCACACATTTTTATGGACAAAATTAACGGAATAGTTTACTAGTTATATGCATTCAAAGCTATATCATAAAAAAACACCTTCACGGACGGCAAGGTAACGCATCCCATTTTTGTCTGATACCAAAATGAAAAAGACGACGTTTGCTGGATCCTGCACTAAAATCACTAAGACAAGTTCAAAATTAACAAAATGGCGGGTTCGCAAAAAAAATTTTTTTTGCATTTTTTTTTGGCTCTAAAAAGTGCTGTAACAATAAATTATGAAAATTTTATTATCTTTAAGATAAAAAAAATTCATATCTATATATATATAGTCGTTTTTGAGATATCTAGCCAGCCGTCTCAGAAAAAATTGTTTCGAAAAAAACGCGAAAAAAAAATGGTAACTGCCATTGAGCACCGTGTCAGCACTTACTCTCAATCCTGACTTTAACTGACTAATAATCAGAATTTACATACCATTTTAGCAAGGAATTCTTGGAAGTATAATAAATTTGAGAATACAAAAAAAATTAATATTTTGGTCGAGCTTGATGAGAACCTCCCCTTAAGATTCAAAAGTTTCCTGGCCTGGGTATCATCCGAATTAAAAGTAATCTACACGATGACAACGAATCCAGTCAAAAGCACATACATCACAGGACTTTCCAGCGCTCTAAAATATCATGTGTTTGTTTATGAATTTGTTCTTCGACTCATGCACAATCAGGCAAAGAAATGTACAAGCCAACAATTATTATATTCGCGGTCGTTTTTGAAGAATGAGTGTGGATAAGACCTAGCTATTCTCTTGTCGTTGATCAATAAGTTTGCGCAACGTTTCATTCTCGCGATGTCAGTGAATGCTCGGTAATCTGTCAACAAAAAGGTACTCCTATTCCACTAAATTAACTCCGACGTACATCGTGGATGATGTATTTTAAAGTTGAAACGTTTATGATTTGCGCATGAGAGCGAGAAAGAGCATCGATTTTCATATCTTCCGATTGGAAAAACACTTCGAAAAAGTTGCAACACGACCCGACACAGTCATGCACACATCGATGTACATACATATATATAAATTATTCACATTTATCTCAGCATTTTGCATGAAAGAATTCATACTCTTATCGCGCCAATGCAATGCTCTTTATCTTTTTATTGGCGCCGTAGCAAAATAAAAAAAATAATCCACTGAATAATTCCCGCGGGTCAAAGGATTAATGACAGTTTTTCGTTATTATCGGTATTTTGTAAAGCTCAAACTAGCAAATTGAGGTGTAGACGAATTCTTATAAATATAACGTATTGTATATTACTGATCACTGATTATATTTGGATTGCTCAGAAAATCACCAGAGATTTGATGGTTATATGATTACAAACAGCACATGCACCTCGAAGCTGCATAGAACGGTGGATTTGGGGATCAGCTTAATTGTCTCGAATTATTTACCGTTTCTTTTTCAATGCGATATTTTTTTATTCAAGCTTGTGAATGAATCTAGCACGCAACAGATGTAAAATATGAGTCAGCTAACAGCTAGTTAATGTACCCTTTAAATTAGAGGTGAAAATTTTTAGTGGTAGAGTTAAGGATTGCACTTTATAAAAAATCAATATATTATATGCAGTTTTAGAATTTTTTTATATTGCTCGAAATCCCTGCAGATTCAATGAAATTGAAATCCACCTTGACCAATCACCAATTGAATTGGATATTCGAAGGTATGCTTATCGAAGAATTTATTTATACATCTTTCTGTGCATCAGGCATCGGAATAATTGAAACGAAGTGATTGACACGCACTTTTCTTGTGTAGCTCAAAGCTAGCCTGAATCGCTACCTTTTACGGAACGAAAATAATACATTACTAAACAGGGGAAGTATCTATCGTGCACGAGAGTCAAGTTTGATGTCTGCCCTAGCGAGGATTGTATTCACGGAAGTGTAAGATTGACAAACTCCCGTGCGAGTTGCGTACTATACTTTTTATCATAGTGAGCAGGGAATTCACTTGAAGATGGCCAACCGTGCAAAAAAGTAACAATTTCCTCTCGCTGCGATAAAATAGTGAGAGCGAATTAGATGTACTCAAGCGCCTAAGAGCACGTGTAATTATCGCATATAGTCGAGGTAAAGACAAGGCTGATAAGCAAGTGATCTGAGGCTTTTTTTTCATTTCGTGGATGCATATATAACTTTTTAGCAAAAATTGACTTTTTCATTTTGGTCTCAGGGCCGAAAAGGTTAGTTTCGGCATAAGAAAATTATTATAAAGCGCGATGAATTTAGTAATTTTTTCGTATTATGTTCGCGAGAGTGATGGTAGTAGATACATATTGTTGGGTCTTCATCGTCATATCTATGGTCGATTCTCAGTGAAGTGAATGAACAAAGGAATTTTTTTTCTGCAATTATATAAAACTTGTTGTTTCCTATGTCAGAAATGTCCCCAAATATTATTAAAATTTTTGGATTCACCTAATACCTTTTTGGAAGGCCCGAAGTTGACATTTTTCGCATTATGCGCTCCTGCCCAAAACCCTTAAAGTCGTAAAAACTGCCCTTTCGACGTTTTTTGCACGTTTTTCGACACTGATTGATTTCTAACGTCCGTTATACTTTGAAGCCCATTAAAAATGTTTTTTAACACTGTGTGCGCAAAACGCGGGGTTTTCAACCTTAAAGCGACAGAAAAACCATGTTTCTCGCAAGCAGAGTTAAAAAATATCGTTTGCAACTAGTCCGCGAGGAAGAACCCTCACTACGCTCGGGTGAAAACAACTCCTGGATGAGTTAACTGCTTCGCGCACTTGTTACAAAATATACTGTTTGACCATTTTTCGTCTTAATCACTCTATACTGAGCTAGGAATTATTTGAATTTTGCGATATTTAATTAAATATACAAAAATACGAAAAATACCAATTTTGGGCCTATGAAAAAAGGTTATAGATGGTTCAAAAAATTCTAATAAAATTTGGGAACATTTCTGACGTTATAAACAAGTTCTTCACATTTCCTTAGAAAAATGGTTTTGACTGAGAATCGGCCATATGTATACAGATATGTATTTTGTGCTGGCTTGCACATATATCGCACTATATACAATATACGTAGCCTGAAGTGGGTAGCAGAGAAAATGGGCCAGTGGGTCGTCGCTTCCTCTTCACGCTACAATGGAGCTATGCGATGATTAAGATTACTACTTATATGTACATTCACACATGGGATGCATCAGCAGCCTAGAGTGCAGTGGTCAATGCAGCGGGCATTATACGCGTACTGACAACTGCACAGTGCACACGTATACGAGCTACCACGTCGCTATACATACACACACGTAATTGACCGCCAGATAATTTATCCCACGCATTTGTCAAGTCGACGTATCGACATCGTCTGATGACTTATCACTTGTTAAAATTATGACACAATACATTTTAGTCAAAATATCGCCTGGATAATATTCTAGTATCCAAGTATAAATAATCATTGAACGCGTCTATATAGTATATATATTCGTAAGCGGATAAATTGAACTTCAAGACGCTTGAAGCTTGTCGTGTATATTATAAGTGAACTATGTTGTTGACGGTAAGAGCACGTTCAAACACCTTGAATTAATGCATTTCTGACTAATTCTCCTTGACACTCGAAGCTATTAATCGTGTTTGCACGATACCATTACTCATAATGATTTTTCTTTAGCACCAATCGTACACGTCATGAAGTGCAAGTTGGGAAAAAAAATTAAATCATTGAATACTTTTAAGAATGGCTTAGATCGAAAAACCATACAATTGCCACCTCAACTAAATTGCCCTCCACTCGCATCAAAATTACATTTTTTTATATCTAAATGGCGCTTTAATTACTTGAAACATTTGAGAAAATTCAAAGGTGGAAAAACATAATTTCACAATGGTAGCGGCCTTAATGATTATGATACTTCTGCGCGGCCATTGACATTTTCTTTCATACTTACTACAGGTACCAATAAATTTTCTATGGTATTCACGAGGGCTTTTTAGCACATTTTCAATTTACACGCTCGGACGTACTCATTTAACTTTACGGCTCATCTAACTTTACACCCACGAGACGGTGGGCACTCGCGAAAGAGTTAATCGCCAAAACTGTTAAAGGAAAAAAAAGAAGCACGCAGGTACGGAGCAAAAAGCTAAATATGGAGTAATCGGAGACTTTCTGCAAAGAATATATAACAGCGCTTAAAAGTAGCAGCAGCTCTTGCGCCTGACTTATACTCTGACCCAAACTTCTTCTCTAACGAGCTCAGCTGTAAGATAGTATATATAAAGCATACCAACCTATCTTTAACTGTGTTTTTTTTCACACAATTCGATCAGTGTAGCGGTGCCCTGAGACGAGCTTGAATCTGCTACACGAACACACACGAAACTATTTATAGATGCCAAGTTCCAACACGCGTATAGCTATTTAATTACTTTTATGGGATATCCTATATTTATACATCATCACTGACAAATTCACGGTGTTAAAACAGTGCATTAACCTTTACGCTACGTGGACTCAAATCTGAGGAAAGATCACATGACTCTCAATAAATGTAGAGGATGCACCCTTACCATTATTTTTAAGAATATATCATTTTGTTTCATGAAGATTATTAGCTAAAAAGTAACTCTATCAGATTTATTTCTGGTATGGATACAAATTTGCTTGTGCATGAAGCTGAATCCAAACCTGAAGTATTTATTTTCATTGTCTTCGTGGAGATAATGCGGTATAGTCTGGAAGCCATTCAACTATCGAGACCGATTAAAAGTTTAAAATGTAAACTTAAAGATTACAG